GAGCAATAAAAGAGCAAAGAGTAACAATTAAGGCTCTTTATCAAACTTTAGTTCCTTCACACACCAATGGTATAAAAAGTATAAAAGAGCTAAAATCGATGTACTTGCATAAATTCAGATATTTTAAAGTTCTAACATTCTGTTATAAGCAAAGCTCTTTTCTGTTGCAGTGATAATTATACCGTTGATTGTGAATTTATCATTTAGTAGTAGAAATTTGTTTCAAGAATAAAAAGGATAATCCCTTCAAAATAAGTCATTAGCGAAAGAACTCACAACTGAGCCTTTACTTACTATTAGTAATGAAAACTGAAAATGAGTAAAATTCCTGACCAATATTCTTTCGTACTTTGCAGTTTTTCTTTGACAAATTGTTCAGTATTGAACAAAACTGAAAATTTATGAAGCAGTTCTAATTCTTTAAATAGAGCTTCATTCTTGCTAAGTCGATTCGTTTCCATTAAGTCAAAAAGTAGTGTAAACATCATGTATTTTCAATTTTCATTACGCATTTTAATACCGGATTTTGCGCGTTTTTACGGTGAAAACGATTCGTACACTTATTACTGTAATATTAAATTTAATAACATACGTTATTATATAGTATGCCAACAAATACTAACATATTTAATTTAAAATAGTTTTTGAGGTTATTTGTTACCTTTGAGACGAAGAATGTTTTTCTTATATACCTTGATAAAATATAAAATCATCAAAACAATATAAATACATTTCTTTCTGTCTTCAACTTTTTTACATTTTGCAGAGTTTAACTTTTTCCCTTTCGTGATCTGAATGACAAATCTTTAAAATATAACGGTAACAATATGCGAGTGGAAGATGAAATCGCTTAAAAATGCTCAGTTTCCACTAATTAACGTCTATAAATATGTAGACAAATTCTTACTTAATGGAAGTATAGCAATTGTTTTGAGTTCTTACAGGACTGAATACGTATTACTCTTTATCTTACTAGAGCAGTGAATAAAGATTTTACGAAGAAAATGCAGTAAATTTATGTAAATATTTCTATTTATTTACTTGTAATTTGGAAGTTGTATAATTTTTCAGCGTTTTTGTTTACTTATTAGCCTAAAGAAGTTTTAGCTCAAAAGAGTTATTACTCTCGAAACAGGATTTTGCGTTGAATCTCTACAAAATCCTGAATCTCTTTTTCGATTGTTGCCACTAAATATTATTGCCCTGTATTATTTTTTTAATTAAACAAAGGATTATTTGCATGAATGTACGTATGTTTGTCGCATTGTGAGAACAATAATGGTATCTAGAGCTATTAAACTTTGAATAACGTTGTCCTTCACCCCTAACATGTGCACCTGGAAGCCCGAATTTTGAATTTCGATTTTTATATTCTACATTTTGTAAATTTCAGTTTATGATTATTTATCTTGCTTATAATTATCTGCAGTTTATATATAATTCATTTTATATATTATTTTTTAGAGTTAAATTCACTATTTTGTACAGTTTTTAGTTTTAAATCTACTGACTTTGATATGATAAGAACAGGTCAAGTAGAACTTGAGATCTCGGAAAAAGGTTTCCCTTGTTAGCGTTTTGGCCATCATTTCTGAAATCAAGTTGGTGATATTTAGCTATTTTTCATCAACTTGTCAATAAATAGTAAATTTCCGAAAACGCCTCTTAGAAGCCGTTTTCTTGAAAGCTTCAGAAGTGCTGGTCCACACCTTAAGCAAAAGTATAAATTCGTTAGGTGAGGCGTTATGATATCCAGAGTTTTTTTTTTTTAATTGTTCGAAGTTAAACATACACCTTTTTTTTGTAATTTTTGTGAAGCTTCCTACTCGAAATTATCAGAAATATGCCATGTCGATTCAGTATGTGTCTAGTTCAACAACGGCACATTTAGCATATGTTGTGAAGCATCGTACTGGACATGAAAAAGTTTCCAGACGTTTTCTGACAGTTTCTGCCCATATATTTTTATCTGTATTAAACTCTTTCAACCAATTTAATTTCAACCAATTGTGAATCAACTTATATAAAGAATAGATATCAATGTAACTGATAAAATATTGAGAGGCATTTTAAATATACTATGCTAAAAGGATGGAAAATCGTAAGTCTTTGAGCAGTTAGCAATTAAGAGTGGTGTCCGCCGATAACATCGCGGCGAAAACGTCGCGGAGAAAACAACGCAAGACGAAAACGTCGTGCTACAAAACATCGTGGGAAAAAACATCGCAGTTCTAAATCATCGTATTACAAAATATCGTTGTTGAAAATAAAGCGGTTCAAAAACTTCGCAGTTTAAAAACATCGTCGTCAAAAATATCGTCGTAAAAAATAAAGTATCTACAAATCATCGCATGACGATAACATCGCAGACATGCTTTTTTCTTCAGGCTTTAATAATTGTAAATGGATATTTCCATAAAATATTTGGGAGCGCAAGATAGACGAAAGGATAATTTTTACTTTCAAATTATTTATTAACTAATAAATTTTTGCTAATAAAGTAAGAAAAAAACTTAAGCATAGAAAATTAATGCAACTTATAGCATTAACAGAATTTTAAACCGACATTGTTAACTAACAAAGGTCATTGATAAATTGTTTTTTATAAAAGTTTTACTGATACTTTTTCATGAAAAGTATAATCTAAAAAAAGATTAGAAAAAGGAAGATAAGTAACTACATGACCTTATCTATAAAAAAATTGCTAACTTAATTATGAGGTTATTTTCTTTACTTTTATTAATCTAATACTCTTATAGCGAAAATTATTTCTTATTTTGTTTCAGTTTATTCTTAAAGTGTTATTAAAATTTTCATGCACAGCGTGCATTTAGTTACTTGAATGTCGCTTTGTTAGTTATAACGAAAGTCAGCTATATAATATTTCAGTAGTGTTTGGATTTATTAGATTATGCCAAAACACACTCTTACGATGTTATCGTCATGCGATGATTTGTAGATACTTTATTTTTTACCACGATATTTTAGACGACGATGTTTTTAAACTGCGATGTTTTTGAACCGCTTTATTTTCGACGACGATATATTGTACCACGATGTTTTAGAACTGCGATGTTTTCTCTTTGCGATACTTTCTCCCACGATGTTTTATAGCACGACGTTTTCGTCTTGCGTTGTTTCCTCCGTGACGTTTTCGTCCGCGATGTTTTCGGCTGTAACAATTAAGAGTAGCAGACCGGTGCAAGAAGCGTTACATTAAATGCTCTAAAATTAGCATTGATATTTGAAATCAATAAATCAAAACTTTAGCAAGTGTTAAATTCACTTTATTGGAAAATTAAGAATATTCACCTCCATTTTAAACATAATTTTATCAAATTAATGTACTTCTTTTTTTAATGAAATGTAAGAGTTAATTTTTATGTTCGTTTAAATATAAAGTTTGTGTTTCGCTTAAATATTTATGCTTGCACTTGAATAACTATCAGAAGAAACAAAACGGGATACACCTTAAATTTTTCTCTCCTCCTATCTAAATTACACGACGTAATGTTTCCCTCATCATCAACAGACCTTTGTTACTAAACATTTATAACATGTTTGCATCTTTCTTAGACTCGGAAGAAAGCTGTTAAATATTAGCAAAGCTGAAGATTTTAAATTTATCGCACATTGCAATAAGCATAATTTCAGCGCAAACACTTTACGTGCAGCACGTATAACGAGCAAGAAATGGTTCTTTAAAATAATTCGTTATTTGCAAACGAACTACTATTTCTATCATAGCTATCAAGAAAAATAACCTCTAATCATGTTAAACCCATCTCAGTACATCAAAAGGCGCTTTGTTGCTAATTTATATTTTGTTTCTGATGTAATAATTTAAGTATTTGAACTAACTCACAAAGTTAGTGAAATAGTACGTGCTTTGTAGGACCATTCAATGTGAAGTTATTTTCACATTCTATATAAAAATTGTAAAAGACAAATTTTAACTAGTAATAGCATTTTAAGTCCTAAAAACGTCATGTGTGGCATTAGAAACTAGCAGTATTTTCGAATTTTCTGTCATAAGGAAGTTATAGCTTTTACGCAAAACAAAAACCATCTAAATAAAATGTAAAATAAACTGAAATCTTTAGAATGATGTCATTAGAGTAAGATGGTTTTAGAAAATGTAATCTATAGATAACCTAAAGTTGCTTTAAAACTCCAGAACTTATCATTTTAATTACTTATGCGTTCTCTAATTTGAAACCATTGTTTAACAAAATAGAAAGTAAATTCAGTATATTATACCGTGAATAACTAATGCGTGAACTACTTACAGTTACACACTCTTCATGTCTATTAATTTCTTGCAATTCGCGTGCACAAAACATTAGTTTCCTGTACAAGCTGATTTAACTTCATCATTACTCTACGAACACTCGTGTAATACAATCCGGCTGATGTTTAAGAACTTTCTGTGATGAATGTGAGAAAGACTGGGAGAATGTTTCCAAACATTCATCTTTCAGAAATAAATGGCGAAGGAGTAAAGTTATAATCATCTGGGCAACCTATTTTTAGAAATTAGAGAAGAATTCTTAAATGTTAATGCTTGACAGTTGGAGACGCTAGACGTTTAACGCTTAATGTTGATGCTTGACATCTGACGTTTAGATCCTTGGTAACTAACGTTTGATGATGCATGACGATTAGAGAAGGCGTGATATTTTGCGTTGTGTGAGCCTAGGTAAAGAACTGACTTTTCGTTCTAACGACTCCTAACATTTTACCAACAGGCTTTATCACGTGGACTGAATCACATGGATGTCCACTGGCGCTGATTCTAAATATCAATTTTCTGGCCTAAAGAACATTTTTATATCATGCAAATCATCACTTCATAAAATTAAAGTATTTTTCTTTATTATATATATCAATACTTTTGAACTCACTGCCATAGTTGTGTGTTCTAGTACCGACTAAGACAAAATTATAAATTCAGCTTTTAGTTTCCTTTTGTAATTCCTTATCACATCTCGTTGCAGTTCCGGAGAAATTCCTCGAAGCCATGGTGAATAGCAGCGTCAAGATGCCATGTAATGTTCTGCAAAAAAAGGAAGACAACGTCGAATTCTTCTTTTGGTACAAGAATGACGGAGTCACTGCCTTCTATACCCTCGACGCACGACGCCAGCGTCTTGGAGAAGCTCATCATGTGAAAAATGAAAGCTATAGTAGTCGAATACAATTCCATCCCACCGCCGAGCAACCATATTTGCAGATTGATAATCTGAAGGAAGATGATACTGGCACATATTTCTGTCGAGTGGATTATCAATGGTCAGCTACAGAACTGACAAAAATCAATTTAGTTGTTGTGGGTATGTATTAAAAGTAAAATATACTTCTTAATATACTTAAATCAGTAAAATATACTTAAATAAGTTTCACTGTTAGTAGTGAAAACTTCACTAAGTGTAATTATTGGTGTCATATGATGATTTTTGTTTTCGCAAAGCAAGAAAAAAACAATAGGGTTTTTGACTCACAAGACTATTTTCCCCTGGGTATGTGGTCGGAAATTTAACGCAGCCATTTTCTTAAAATCACTTTGAATTACTTTAAACAATTAACTGCCTATTTTCATAAAACAAAACTATGCAAGAAATTTACAATAATATAGAAAATTATTTCCATTATAGCCTATGTCCTGAAAAATAGGTACTTATCTGTCATCGCAACCACCGTCGTAGAAATCGCTAGATTTTCAGAATTTACCAAACTGGCAAACTTGCTCATAGCTATCCTTCAGACAACGCAACGTCGCCATTTTCGCATGCGTTTTTTTTTTTTTTTTTTTTTTTTTTTTTTTTTTTTTATGTATACCAAAGGCTTTTATAAACAGATCGGGATATTTTAGGCCTTAGTTGAAATATGCGCTTGATGACTTTGCCAACGATGAAAGAAACTGCGGTAATATTTCTTCAAGAACGCATAATTTTGAGGCAAAATTTCTAAAGAAAATAAGAAAGAGATGCATTAGTAAATAGCTGATATTTATAGTTTGGGAGATGTCCTATATCTGCAATTCTCTGGTCTCTTTTTTTTTTTCTTTTTGTATAAGCATATCCTGTGTACATTGAGAGAAGAATAACACAAAAAAATTGGAGAAAGATTTGGAGAAAAATATAAGATTTTCTTTTTTAATGTATTACGTAAACTTTACCTAGTAACAAAAATATGTATTTTAAATTACTCAAGTACTTTTCCTTTCATATGTTGATGATGTTTGCCGGCTTAAAATAAATATGGATAGTCTGGAAATCTTTTTTAAAAAAAGTTGCAAAAAACCATCAACTTGCACACTATAAATAACTTATTCCTTTCCATGTGTTAAAAATCGCCAAGCTGGGTCGAGGTGGTTGCGTTAATACGTAAGTACTGAAAAATATAACAATTCTGGTAATAAACAGGCACCGTATGAACAGCCTCAGCCTCCGTTATTTCTCAAAGCAAACATATGATAATCAAGCGCTTGCCCTCTGATACACTTTATTCCATTTACTACAGTAGTTAAATGTTAAGACACAATAACACGCCGAATAAATACCAATTCATAAGTCAAACAACAAAAATCAGCGTTAATTTACAAAATTTTCACAGGACTAGTTTCGATGGTTTTACCGAACCATCATCTTCAGCTGCAAAACCGCAAATGAACAAGATAGGAAATAATGTTTAGATAAGATAAGAAAGCCTGGACAAGAATAAGCAAGTGGCGCCATCTGTTGGCGAAACCAGAACTAAAACATAATTTCTAAAAGCCGAAGGCAAATTTCGATTGGAATTAGGATCGTTAACTAGAACAGAAAGATTTTTATGAAATGTGAAATGCCTCTAGAAAATCCCGTTCTCCAATGGAAGATGTTTTTGAATAATTTTGGCAGCAGAAAAAAATTGAAAGTGTGATTTTCGGACCAACAATGTTGAGCAACAGAAGACTTCTGTGTTTCCTTTTGTGTTTCCTTCTGTGTTTCCTATGTTTTCCGTGCTCTTCAAGTTTGCTCCTCCAAACTAGCCCTTGATGAAGAACTAAATTATTTAAAAGCAATAGCTATTTACAGGTGCTTTTCACCCAACATTATTAATCAAGCAGTTAAAAAATTCTCATCTCAACACACTAAAAGCCACACTCTTATTTTAGGAGATTATAAAAATTCTGTTGTCATTCCCTTCTTTCCATCAATTAGCTATAAAGTTGCACATATTTTGCAGAAATTTCACTTTCGGGTTGTTTACTCTCCCATCAATAAAATTCCAACTTCTATACTCAAGGACTCCATTCCAGATATGAATTCCTGGGGTATTTATAGGATTCCTTGCCAGTGCGGTTTAATTTACATTGGCCAAACTAAGAGAGCCTTAAAATTTCGCGTCAAAGAACATGACGCATATGTTAGAAAAAAGGAAACACAGAAGTCTTCTGTTGCTCAACATTGTTGGTCCGAAAATCACACTTTCAATTTTTCTGCTGCCAAAATTATTCAAAAAACATTTCCATTGGAGAACTGGATTTTTAGAGGCATTTCACATTCATAAAAATCTTTCTGTTCTAGTTAACGATCCTAATTCCAATCGAAATTTGCCTTCGGCTTTTAGAGAAATTATGTTTTAGTTCTGGTTTCGCCAACAGATGGCGCCACTTGCTTATTCTTGTCCAGGCTTTCTTATCTTATCTAAACATTATTTCCTATCTTGTTCATTTGCGGTTTTGCAGCTGAAGATGATGGTTCGTAAAACCATCGAAACTAGTCCTGTGAAAATTTTGTAAATTAACGCTGATTTTTGTTGTTTGGCTTTTGAATTGGTAGTTAAATGTTGTTTGACGTTGTCTCGTAATGCTGAGATGCAGTGTGTTATTGTAACTTGGGCATTTTTGTCTTGATGTATTTAAAAACTCCATACTTTCGTCCAATACTATAGGGCACCATCAGTGAGAATTCAGGCCGTCACGTTCATGGATATGTGATTTGTCAAATAAAGTTTTAACATGATTGAAAACACCAGTGCCTCTTGTCGTGATCTAACAAAGTAAATTTTTTCTAACATTTATGTATAACAAGAGCGCCAGCAAATGAATCAACATCAGTTCACTTATCGTTTTGCAGTTTCACGAACACATAGTTTTATCAATTGCTTAACTACAGTGAAACCTTTTATTTCTTACTACACAAATATGCCATTGGATACGAAGTCTTTAACAAGGGCTTTTGAACTGCCTTAACCTCAGATTTTGTCATAAAATCTGTGGTATCAAATCTTGCTTAATCAAGATGTTAAGAATACATCCTTCAGATTCGTCCTATGCTGATTGTTGAAATGCTCTAAAACCTTTGATTATTTAGGATTAAAATTTGAAATTATTTTACTACCAAGCATGCAATATGGTCGTTTCATACTGTTTTCTCTATTATACAAGTGATTCCATGAATAACGTAATCCTCTTCCCATTAACATTTTAAGACACAGAGTTAGTGCAATCAATAAAATAATAATTATAATTTTCAAAATTAGTAGAAAACTTTATGTAGCCAATTGATTGCATCCACTATATGATTTGGTTATTGATTAATATTGTAAAATTTAACGAAATTTATATTTATTGTGTCAGACCACCTTATAAATTTTCATACTCAGAGTGTACCAAGGTATCAATGCATCACCATTTTTTTATTGTTCTGCATGCAGGGATCAGTAGCGTGGCTACTATATTTAGGTTATAAGTCACCTAAATAAAATTCAAACTGAATTTCATTTTTCTTAAATCAGAATACACTAATCAGAAATAAAAAATTGCAACGAAGGAAACAAAATTTTTAAATTTATCCACGCGAATGAATAAAAATATCACAACACATCGGAAACAAAAGAAACATATCTTGAAACATGACTCACATCATTATATTTCATCATTAGAAGAGAAAGAATAAAGCATAGTAAGCTTAAGTTCCGACCTAAGAAGGACAGAAAAATACAACGCATGATTTGCGTTTTCAATCGATTTCACATTTCATGAATCCCTTTCTGTAAATATTTTGATTGTGTTTTTTCTATATTTGTGTGTCTTTTCTTTTTCTTACTTATATAACAACACTAAGACAATCGGAATGCTCTTATGGGTCTTTATTTTTGTCCCTAATGCCAATGTAGCTTTCGCAAGTCAGTGAGGTGGGAATTTCTATGGAAAATATACAAATTTGTGTTGCACCTCTCGAAATGTTTTTTTGTACGCCCAATGTCACATGCATCCCAGATTTAGAACCGCTGAAAATATGTGTAAGTGGCTTAGTTTATATTTTGAAAATATTTAATAGAATTACAACTGAAGCGAAACTAACAAAATTACTCTTGTTTTTCAACAAGGCTTTAATGTTTAATTGTAAATCTATTCAATGACGGCTTGAATGCTCAAAATACTCTCATTTAAGATATTTTGCACTAATCATGTCAGAGTTATAAAATTCACAACAGAAACGTCTACATGCTCTTTCACTATTGTACTGTAGTCATCAAGAAATTAATATCCACTTTCAAATAAAACGGATTATTGTGATAATATTTTAGTGACGTGGGCATTAAAAAAGTAATTATGTGTCTTTACAAGTGTAAGTCAAAGACAGATTATCGAAAAAGCATTTATTTGAATTTTACAGATATCAAAAATTAAATATATCTTTCTTCAAACTGCTAAATCCTCATTGGCTCCATTACTACCAAGTGCAGATTTACCTCCTTTCTCAATTCAGATTTTGTTTCAGTAATGATTTTTAATTAAGTTTCATTTTCATTTAATAACACGTATTAACCCTTTGAAGGCCAAAACGCCCGAGATAGTATTTCATTCAAAGCAACAGAACCGCTCGAAATGACAGAAATTGTGATATTGTTTCCTTCCCTTTCCCTAAGGTATGCAATAGCATGTTCAGCTTTCTCAAATGCATTGTATCAGTTTATTACAGACAGCTTGTCCTAAAAGGCTAGTGGAAGCTTCGTTATTACGACGTAGAAAGGACGTCATATGAAATCTGCACATCTCTTTGTGACGGGTGTTGTGGTATTTTAAGCATACAGTTTAGTGAAGGCTTCGGTTTTCTGACGGTTATATACATAAAATAATTACATAAGTTATATACATTAATTAATTACACATATTAAAATAACATATATTTCTGTGTTAATTATGCAGTTTTATTTTATTTTTTTTTAAGTTGTTCATTCAAAGAATCATTGCCTTCGTTAAATGTATAATTTAAAAGAATTAATTAACGTTTCTGCTCGTCTTAGATTTGGAAACTAATTATGAAATATTTTAATGATATTCTCATAAAAATGGATACAAATATGCATGAAATAATCAGTTCATTTCCTTTCTTTACAGTTCCTCCCAAGAAGTTAATTGTTCGAGATGATACAGGGCAAGAGGTCAGAAATATAGCTGGACCATACAAGGAACATTCAGATGTTACACTATCTTGTGAAGCTCAAAAAGGTACGTGTTTGATACCTTCTCTTAGATTTAAGAGTGTTTGGGTTATTGTAACCACTACAGCTAGATCTATGGGTTCTAATTATTGGGTGCCGCTGATTTCCTGACAAGAGTTATCGTGATGGAAATGATATTTCCAGGTTCATGCAGACAAGAATGCAATAAAATTTAACTTGAAAACTTGAATTAGAATCTACTTGATAATTAATATTAAAATACATATACTTTCTCGTTGTTCCTCCCTTCTCCAGCTTGTCTGGCCACATCTAGGCTCAGACTCGGGTAGACCTTCCTCAGACAGCAGCTAACTTCAGACAGGATCAGACATCAGACGATTTCAGACAACTCTCCGGTTCTAGTTAACCCACTTACCCCTCTACGCTTGTCTAAAAAATCTGCATAACCATCTGGAGGGAACGAGCTGCTTGACTAAATACGAAGTGATATAAAAGATACAAATTTTAGCAATTTATAAGTTAAAAACAAACTAAATACAAGTGAAGTGATTTTAAAGTGCTATATACAAAATTATAACTTTTGTAATTGTCCTCTTCGTTTAATGACACCAATATGCAAACGAAAATGCACGTTTTTGGATAAAGGTTTTTGAAAATGCAAGTCTTTGAATAAACGTTTTTGGAAACGCAAGTTTTTGAATAAAAGTTTTTGGAAATGCAAGTTTTTCTTCAAAGTATGTCTTGAAGTGCCTCTCGTAAAAAAGATTTGGATCTCATTTATTCGTGAAAACTTACTTTTGGCATATAGGAATATTTGCTATGATTGGACATACTTACTGACACAGGCAATTTCAATAAATGACATGATTTTTTTACATCAGCGTTAGACAAGAAAAATTAGAAGCTTACATCTTGAATAACCGCAATTCACTTGCATTTTTATTATTTTTTATTTTGCAGTATAATGTCTACCATCATAAAATGCATAATATTATCTTATCTGCATTTGTTTCCAGATTTGTTTGATAAAGTAAATTTTAAAAATATGAAACAATACTTCAAAAGCATGCTTTTATAATAATCCAAAATGTGTTGCGTAAATGGCACATTCTATCACTATTTCTCGGAAACATCGGATTGTTTTGACAAAGCATCGTGGTTGTGAGCTAAAGTTTGTTAAGAACTAGAGGTGCTGTGCTTTTCTTTTCAATGTCGAAGTCGGCTTGTATGGCTTTCGAATAAATGAAACAAATACTTAAGTTCCGCGGTCAGGTCTTGGATGTTCCGAGGCTTCCCTTCCTTGGCCAAGCCTTGGAGGTTCCGCGGCCAGTCCTCTGCTTCTTTGTCGATTAACATATCCAATTTTTAATCGTTTAAAATGCTGTATTCTTATTTTCCGGTAATCACTTTCGAAGTTTTCATCTAAACGTAACTGACGGAATAAACACAGTTAAAGTGTTATCGAGAGTGGACTTGGTTAACAGTTGGCTTTTTTTCTTCTGCCAATACAACCAAACTCGTCATATTTGTAGCGTCTCGAAAATTATTCAGCGTATGAATACATTTTCTATTATTTAGTCTACCAAGATCCGGACCTAGGACAATTAAGTCCGGACATTTTGTTCTAGAATAGGAATCAAAGAGGAAACGTTGCACCGAGAGCCTTCTATAATTTGTAGTGAATTCCATTTTTTCGCTTTAAAATAACAGAATAATAATAGACCTTTTAAAGAATCCTAGTCACAGAATCTTTAACCAGTCGTGGTTATACAGGGTCCGGCAATAAAGTTACAGAACTGCTGCTATTATCCTGTTAATATTAATGACAAAAAATATATTTTAATCATCATTATATATTAATAATTATCAATATATATACTAAAATATAAACATTACGTAAAAATGGCGTCAGTCTGCAGCTACACGTTTTCTCTCTTACAGAACATATGAAAATTTAAGAAAACAAATATAAGTACTATTTCTGAAGATCGGTAATCACAATCATGCTGTTTTCTGTTGCTATGGGTTTAAGCACAAACTGAAAGTAAATATCAGTCTTGCTCTAAGATAAATAACATAGACCCACAAAATGATCTAAACTGTTACTCAGTGCCCTATCTCATGGTTACACGTTTGAATGGAGTTCTTAATTTCGTGATGAAGGAAGAGATGTTTTGGTGGTTCAAGGACTAGGCGGTTGTTAAAGCAACGGTTCTAAGGAATCTGCTGTGAAAGTTAACTCTGTCTTCTATTTAGAGGTGAATTAATTGCGTACGACAACACCTATGTAGTAGTAGAGTAGGGAAAGAGAATAATTATCGAGTGTTTACCTCGGCGAAGTATAATATTATGCATATGTTCTGCTTTCGAGGCAAATGCATGTATATGTGAGAAGATGGTGCTAAATTCTAGGTCATATCAAAATCCTATAAAGAGGAAAACACATGATTTACCTCTCCATTGTGTTATACTTTACCTCTCGAATGATGTCGATTGCCTTATTGCCTTTGCTGTTACATAAGAAGAAGAAATCTTTTATTAGCAAGCTTCTAACGTGTGAAAATAACTGGATGTTGTTTGATACTTTCATATGCTTTCATTTCATTATAGCTCTTGAAACTACTCGCGACAAAATCTCCACCGCATCTAAAACCTTATATCTTATGACCATTTTGGACTTCTAAGGGACCATGGATAGCGGAATGTTAAAGCTGCGGTAAATATAAAATTAAAACTCTAAACTAAGAGTCTGCCCTGGAGATTCCGAAAGAGCACCGTTCTTTTGCATGCTAATGACAAGAAGCAATTTTCGATGGATTATTTTGCTCTTTTATTGAAGTTCTGTCATAATGGCGTTTGAAATTAGGGATATTTCACTAGAACATGTTGTTGGATGACGATTTGACTATTTTAGACATTATATGCTACAATATGTGAGATTTTCTTAAACGATTGGATTTTGGAAATACCTTGTCTAATACCCAAACAGCGGTGATTTAAGAAGTCAAACAACAAATGTCAGCGTTATGTTTGCAAATTTTTGTTGTTTGACTTTTAAAATAATCCTTGTTCTGCGAGTTATTTTAACCTAAACCTAAACAACGTTTTCACTCAATTATACAGCTAATCGTATGCTATATTGTGTTGCTTAAAAGTAGATACCTCAGGGCCGATGCCAGCCTCTTCATTTATGACCGTAACGCGTGTTGTCATCAACGCACAGCATTTATTCTCTCCGCTTAATGTGAAATTGTGGTTCATTTCTACCACTTCTTTCTACACTTTCTTTCTTCATTTGTACGCTTTTCATGAAGCGAAATACATTAAATGGAAATGAAATGGCGGCAAAAATTTAGGCGATTCAAGCCGTTTTCTGCAGCTATCGTTCCCATGGTTACGAAGCAAATCAGATGATGGAAAATAACTTTGAAGTTAGTACTTTAAAATAACAGATAATAATGTAATATTTTTTTCGTTGTAAGATTATTTCATCGATATTTCTCTTTAACATCAAGTCTATAGATTGATAAAGGGATGTTTAAAAGCTCTCAAATTTAAAATGATGTTGATCTCAAAACTCCAAAATACGGGTCTAACCGTGAAGAAAAAAAATCATTCTTTATAAAAAACATTAATCTTTTAAATCTAACGTTTCCTACTGCAAACAAAACTTGGGACATTTTTGTGCTTTTCTAAAGCAATTCCACATTTTTAAACTCTATAAGGTATTTCTCCCACTTCCCTAGCGTGCCTTCGTGGTGTAACGGTAGCACACTGGGCCGGTATCCAGAGGTCCGTGGTTCGATTCCCGGCGAAGGCGGTTGCATATTTTTCATCTTTCCTACTTCCAATTAACCTAATGACTCTACAACTCGACGCCAATATCTCAGCCTGAAGCTTTAACAAAATCGGTCATAAAATGATTTGAAATACTACAACCAAACTCGAGTTTGAGAGTGGCAGTAAGCCGACCACTGACATAGGAAATTCAATTAAAAATTCTGTTGCAATATAGCGGACGCAGATGAAAACCTTTATAATCAAAATCAAGCTCTCTAAATGTATATAAATCCCAGAATCAAAGAAAGGTTTTTCTGTAACAGAAACGCTACTATTTTTAATAAATAAAAATTGGATTATAACTATGCATTGCAAGTAGTGTTGCAGGAACAAGCACACATGTGCACACTGTATACATCATTGTGAAAATGGCAGTTTAATTCTGGATATAAGAAAGGGCAAAAGATAATTATCAAAATATCATATTTCGTAATTTATGCGGAATTTTATTCACATTGGCATCTAAATTAGTAAACTTTCATTGTTTTATTTTTAGTCTTCTGCACAGAAAAGATGTAAAAATTTCACTTAAAATTAAAAAAGATGTAAAAAAAAAAGCACTTCCAAAAGTTAATGTAAAAGAAATGCAGCCGCTGTGGATTAAAGTTAATAAGATACGCTAGCGCAGGCATAAGCATATCCGATGAGAATTGTTCAAAATTTCATTTCTTTCTCGTTACGAAGAGATTAATTTTAATTAACAAATCAAGGGAGCGGAAAAGTTATTAAAATCCACTTTCACCATTGTTGAAATACTCTTGTATTTTCTTTCTTTAAGAAAAGAAGAAACAACCATTTAAAATAAACACTACATTTCAGATTTTTTTTCCATAATATTTAGGAGAATTTATATTGTTAAGCTTTCATTTCTTGTATTTAAAATATTTCGAACTGCAAAAAATTATAGTAAAAATAAAATAAAACAAAATAAAAAATAATTATTATTATTAAGCGGAGAAAGAATAAAGGTGCTCCGAAAAAGTAAACATTTCATATTTCCCCGAAAGGATAGCTAAAATTCTTTTAAAAAGTGAATCTTTGCGTTACAGTTTGTTTGTGGTGCTTTTATAATCACTCTTAATGAGGGCCAATTTTGAATTCTTCTCATTAACATTTTGTTTCTAACTAATGAGGAAGGTATTGGACATTTTATTTTATTCATTTCTTCCCTGTCATCTTTCTACTGCCTTGCTATGGATTTTCGTA